TCCTGCCAACCTAGCAGTTTGAAAGCATGTCAAAGTGCAAGTAGATAAATAGGTACCGCTCTGGTGGGAAGGTAAACGGCGTTTCCGTGTGCTGCTGAGGTTCGCCAGAAGTGGCTTAGTCATGCTGGCCACATCACCTGGAAAAACTGTCTGCGGACAAACGCTGGCTCCCTCGGCCAGTAAAGCGAGATGAGCACGCAACCCCAGAGTCTGCGTTTGGACTTAACTGCCAGGAGTCCTTTACCTCTTTTTTAAAAAATGCATTTTTGTACATGTTACTTGACTGGAGAAGCGCCTTGCAGAATTTGGAGAAGTGTGAATAAATTTCACAGGATGGCTTTGCGTTAGTTTGCTTATTGTTTCATAAAGTGCCAACAAGATTGGTTCACTCTTAAAGGCAAACTGCAATGACTTTTCCCCTCATCCCTCTTCCATGTACATGAAAATGTTGTAAGCATACAGCACTGTGTGTGCAACTTTGCGCATGTGACACTATCACAGGTGTTCGAAGTATTTTATGTATTGCATTTTTATCCCACCTAATTTTCTCCAAGGAGCTCAAAGTGGCGTATATTGTTCTTCTCCTCATTTTATTCCCACAACAACCCTGTGAGGTGCATTAGGTTGAGAGGCAGTGACTGGCCCAAGGTCACCCAGTGAACGTCAAGGACAAGTGGGGATTTGAACCCTGTCCTCCCAGGTCCTAGCAGTGCTGACTTCAGGGCACCATATGTTTATTTGTTTAGAATATTTACACCCTGCCTTTTTGATGTATATATTAAGTTAGATACGCAGCTTATGGAGAGGGGAAAACTTGTAAAACAGGAAAGAGAAACCAGGAAAACAGTAAATCACAATAATTATTCAGCAAAGCTACATAAAACAAGACAAAGGCTCAATAAACTTCAGCAACACAGCAAAGATCCTAAGCTGCCATAAAACAGTACTGTTTAATTAAAAGCTCTGAGGAGGAAATAGTGATTTTAACATGGCACCAAAGGGTCAAACTAGACAGGGCCCTAACTACACAATCCTTTGTGGTTCTGCTCAGAAGTACCTCCCAAGTAACCGAACACAAAGTATTTTACTATGAAATGGGATCCTGGAGTCGCTTACAAATATCAGCAAGGTAGTTCCCACTATCGACTTTACACTATCTAGAAGACATTGCACAAAAGGAAATGAGATGAGGAGGGAGGAGGAGAGAAAAAAGCAGATTAATGTACCAGACCTCAATGACAAGCTTCTTATAATGACTACCTGGAACAGAAACAGGTTAAGGACTGAAAGATGCTGGTCTCTTAGCTGAGCTGATGGAGTGGCCTCGCTCTTCTCCTTCTGCCACAACCTGATGGAATGTCTGCTGTTAGGCGACAACTGAGAGAAGGACTGTGATGTGATATGAGGGTCATTCATTAAATATTTCCCCTGACCCACTTCTGATTATCATAGGAGAATGACGTTGCACGTGTATAATGATACATCTCTCCATAGGTAACGTGGTAATTTGTAGCTCTGAACTCCTAACAGTTTCTCTGCTAAGGGTGCTAACGTGGAGTGACATCTGATAATGGAACCAGTTGAATGCAGAGTGGTCATCAGGTTCCTGTACTTGAAAGGGCGCACACCACAGGAGACGTTCGATGAGATGAAAGGACTTATGGGGAGGATGCCCCATAGTATGACGTAGTCAAGCACTGGCACCGTCAGTTCAAGTGTGGTCGCACTTTGGTGGAACGGCTCCCATTCCTGGGGACCACAGTCCATCATTGATGAAGACACCATCCAGCAAGTGGAGGCTGCCATTCTGGAGGATCACCGTATAACCATTTGCCAACTAGCTCCAGATGTCAAGATCAGTGTGTGCTCTGTAGAAAAAATCATCAATGACCATTTGCACATGGGAAAGGTGTCTGCATGGTGGGTTCTCCAGCTGCTGCTGCCTTTCTAGAAGCAAGAACGAGTCATATTCTCATGGGCTCTTTTGGCCATGTGTCACGAAAACCATGATGACTTACTTGCCAGACTAATTACTCAGAACGAAACATGGGTCCATCATTATGACCCAGAGACTAAATCCCAGACCAAACAATGGAAGCACTCTGCCTCACCACCTCCAAAGTAGGCACGTGTCCAACCATTAGCAGGCAAGGTCATGCTCAGGGTATTTTGTGACCAGCGTGGAGTAGTAATGATGGATTTCCTGGCAAAGGGTACCACAATTACTGGTACATGCTATGCTTCACTGCTGCAGAAATTGAGGAAGGCCATCAAAATCGAGAGGCATGGTATGCTGACCAAAGGTGCCCGCCTCCTGCAGGATAACGCCCTGGTTCACAACTCGCATGTTGCTCAGATGGAAGCACGGTTCTGTGGCTATGAAATCCTTCCTCACCCCCTTATTCTCCCGACCTCACACCATTGGACTTCCATCTCTTTCCAACCATGAAGTTATTTTTGAAAGGCAAGCTTTTTCCAGGTGATGAAATGCTGGTTTCTGAGGTCAAGTTGTGGCTTCTGATGCAACCAGTTGACTTCTACAGGCGAGGTCTCCACAGCTGCATAAAATGATGGGAGAAGTGTTTGACTCTTGCTGTTAGTTATGTAGAGATGGACTAGTAACTGTGCCCAGTTTTGTTTGTCTCAGTCCACTGGAAGTACATCAGGAGAAACCTTTAATGAACGCCCCTTGTACCATCACACTGTCCCTACAGTGGACAGAGAAAGGCTTTTCACCCTCTCTCATAACATTAGAGATGTGGACATTCAGTGAAGCGGAATGTTGGAAGATTTGAACAAATGACTTCTTCACAGAGCATAGTTAAATACGGCACTTGCCTCCTACAAGGGGCAGTGATGGCCACCAACTTTGATGGCTTCAAAAGAGGATTAGACAAATTCAGTGACCCAGATGTGAATGTTCTCCCACCACTATCAGATGCAGTGTACTTCTGAATACTTGTCACTGGACACCACAGGAGGGGAAAGTGTTATTGCTCTCAGGTCCTGCTTATTGTCTTCCTATAGGCATCTGGTTGGCCACTGTGGGAACAGGATGTCAAACTAGTTGGGTCTATGGCCTGATCCACAAGGCTCTTCTAACATTCTTATGTTATTGTCCCCTGCCTCAGATTGGCTGTCGGCAATGTAGGCAGAGAAATGACTAGCACAACAATGTCATGTTATTTATGTATTGCCTACTTCTTGGTGTTTACAAGTGTGTCCTGTGTCTTTCAACCAAATGGTGCTTGAGCCGTCTAACAATAGTGATAAGAATGCAATAATAAAAAGTAATAAAGAATACAAAGTGAAACTTGAAATGCGAATTTCAACGAAGCAACTTCTGTGTAAATCTAAAAATGTCTTTGCCTGCCAGAAAAGAAATGATCAGAGCCTATAGGACACTTAACTACGAAGAGGCGAGGATGAAACACAAAATGGCAGCAGTAGCGAGTTTTTAAAAATAAAAATAAATAACACCCAGTTACATCCTCAGAATGCATCCTTTGATTCTACGTTCAAAGATTGTTTTCATAGCAGTTTCTTTTAATGCCCATTACATTTACATAAATAGTTGGTCGGCTGTTAATACAGTTAATGAATTATTCAAGTAAGTACCCAATTACTTCAGTCAATGCCCAATTATAGCATTCCCTCAATATTGACACAGAAATAAGTAATAGTTTGGGGCTTTCTTCTGTTTGAAGCACTCAGTTCCCCAAACACTGACATGGCTCCTCTGTTTGGTTTTTCTTGTTTCATTTTTTAAAAAATTATTTAAAATAAATTCATATATCTTTATTAAAAAGTTAGCTCATGACAGTTCAGACTTCATGGGGATCAGGTCGTCTGTAGCCTCTGGACATATTATAGCCTGTGCGTCTTCAGGTTGCCAACAAATTACTGAAGCAAGGTAATAACTCAACTCACTTCATGGCAGGAGAGATCACAAATGACCAGTGCACCATGTAAGTACAGCCACAAGAGGGTTTGGTTTAAGACAGATGATTAAGGGAGATGATTGCATGATTCCAGGCAATATCTGCTTCAGGTGTCAATTATCACGGTCAAACTTTGTGAAGAGCAGTGATGTGCACAGGCCCATCAGATTTGCTGCATATGTGTAGTATCCTTCCAGTGATGGATTTTCGGCTGCCCACTTCTCCTGGAGAGCGATGATATTAAAGTTTTGACGGTAGAAGGGAATGTCTGTAGAATGGGAGAGGCATCTGGACCAGCCAGCAACATTCCAGGAGATGATGTTTAGGGCAGTAGTTGGTTCTTAGGTTTTTAGATTCCAGACACTCATAGCTGTTTTCTGCTGCTGATTCCTCGGGTCCTTTGGGTTTGACTTGATTGAGCCGCGATGCGGAGGAATGGGTGAGCCTTTTGGGGGAAAGGCTAATTTGGGGGTATTAATTTGTCTGTTCAGGCAGTCCATGAAGATTGGGCCAATTCCCGGCGCTGGCACCACTAGTTCGATTTGTTGCAATTTGGACTGGGCTGTTGGTGGGGGTGTAGGAGAGCCCGTTTCTTCTGGAGCCAGATATCAACAAGTTGTCCATTCCTCATTAGTTAAAGGCTTTGATTTACAATTGATGTAATTAAATTCCATGGGAGGAGGTGGGGCTAGAGGTGGAAGGAAGTTCCTTATGGTCGATAGTCTTTCAATTAGTGCATCCTGGGAAAGTAGAATCTGCTCGAGGTAGGTTGTTAGGAGTTGTTCTTCCTTTGACGAGAAATCCTTTTCTAGCTTATTTGGCGAGGGCGGGGTTTTGTACAATCTGCCAGATTGTTTAAGGCTGCCAGCCTCTGGGTAGAGCAGCTTACTGTTTCCAGCGCTGTTGGATTCTGCAGTGCTGGTTTTGGTTTTTGGTCTGACTGGCCTATGTGCTCCTAGAAGTGGTAAAGGGTCTTCAATGTTTTCGAAGAAACGGTGCACAAGCAAGCCAGCCCTCAGGAAATTGTTTTTATTAGAAAGGATCTGTTTAGTTGAGAGCCTGTTCTTAAAAGTCACTATAGCCCTATTTTGGGCCATATCATGATGGAGGAATTTTACCTTGATGATATTTTCTGCTGTCACAAGGCCCCTGGTAACTATTCCGATTTTTTCGGGAATATTTACTTTTCTTTGAGCATATGATGGATGACCTCTGTTTGTGGGAAGTATTGTAAAGGCAAGTTTATGTTTGTTTAGCATTAGCTTCCAACAAGTCTGTGTTGTTTTATCTTGATCCTTTTTTGTTATATTAGGGTACACAGGATTTATTTGCGATGTCAAGCAAAGGGTTGGTTGCTTGGGTGGTAAAATTTCCTTTGGTTTTCCTATTTCCCCACTAGAGGGCGGTGTGTGATCTGCTGGGGCGTGGGGCTTTTCCTCAGAGTGCTTTATTGGCATGCATGAGTTTATGATTTTCTTTTGGGTTGTGGAAGCAGAATTCTTTGTTGTTATATTCTCCAGCACCTTAAATAGCTTCTGGAGATTCATTTTTTTAGTCCGGCAGGTCGGCGCTCCTCTTTGGCCTCTCAATTTGATGTTTTTGGTCTTCTTCATTTTTTGTGTTGAGCCTTTTCTCTTTAAGGTTGGTTTCTTGGGAGCAAGGGGCCCTCCCTCTTGCACTGAATTGTTTCTGTTTGTTTTTTTGTGATCGAGTCTCGGCTTAGTTTCACCTCCATTGGCCCTAGTCCCAGATGTCATGTGAGGGAAAGCGGCCTCATGGTTCTTAATCAATTCAGTTAGGGTGGTAAGCAGGTTCAAGCTTTCCAAAAGGAAATTTTTAATTGGCTCAAGTTCTTTGCTTATCTGTGTGAAATGAGTTTTGAGTAACTCTTCAAACATCCCTGACAGGTAGAAGATAAAGTTGTCCAGGTGCTGTAAACTTAATCTGTTTGGCCATTTGTCTGTCTCAATCGGCTCAGTCGGGGAAGGGCACCTTAAATTCTCTCCTGATAGGGAGGAGAGAAGAGGCTTGTTTAACATGGCTTCTGGGTTTTCCAGGAATAGCTCCTGTTCTAAACTTTCTTCACGTCCCTCTTTGGCTAGCTCAGCTTGTTTTAGTTCTGTTGCCAGGTCCACTCCCTCACCTCCAACGTTAGTTTTTTCCTCCCTTCTAATCCAGGTGTGGTCAATAGACCACTCGTGAGGATGGAGATTTCCTGGATTGTTTGCTTCATCAGCCTTGGGATGGAAGTAGGTTGAAATTTTGGCCTGTTTTTTCTTTGGGGGAGTTGTTGCAGGTTGTAAAGGTGAAATCCCCAGTTCTTTGCAACATTGTCTTGTAAGTACCATCTATCGTACTCGGAGATAAATAGGGCTATTTTATCCAGCCCACAGCTTTATGAGCTTTTCAATGGAGGTGGTTCAAAGTTGATTTAAGTAGCTTTGAAAGGGGAGGGGAGGTTTAAAAGTTCACCCGGCAGCTCCCAGGGTCTTTTACTGATAAAAGTTGGCAGATATTTTCATAGTTTGAGCCTTTCATCAGGGTAATTTGATCATTAGAGCTCCTACTCACGCAGCAGAGACTCAAGTTGAGACTTGACCCGGCGCCATCTTATCGCTCCATGAGAGAATCCTTTGGTTTTTCTTGTTTCAAATGCACATGTAATGCCCAGTTTCAGGTAACAGAGAGCTGAATCCTGAAGAGGGCTTGCTCCAAAATAATCATACCACAGGTTCGATCCCCTCTATTTCCAAGAAGGGCTGGACAGACACTATCTGAAACTTTGGAGAGCCATTGTTATTCACTGGAGACAATGCTGAGCTAGAAGAACCAGTGGTCTAACTAGCTTCATGTTTTCCTATTCTTCTACTGCATCTGCATCGCGATTTCGGGGGTGACTGAGCCAGCGAGATGCTGAGGTGGCTGGCCAGCTCTGCCCTCCTGCACGCCTGGGACTGGGCAACCTGGAGGGGGGCGCTGGGTGGATCTTTGCACCCCAGCGCCACATATGCTTAAGACAGCCCTGTGTACAGTGGTGCCCTGCAAGACGAATGCCTCGCAAGACGAAAAACTCGCTAGACGAAAGGGTTTTTCGTTTTTTGAGGTGCTTCGCAGGACGAATTTCCCTATGGGCTTGCTTCGCAAGATGAAAACATCTTGCAAGTTTGTTTCCTTTTTCGTAAAACCGTTAATACAGTTGTGACTTGACTTCGAGGAGCAACTCATAGCACGCGGTGTGGTAGCCTTTTTTGAGGTTTTTGAAGACTTTGGTGATTTTTGAAGCTTTTCCAAAACTTTTCTGACACCGTGCTTCGCAAGACGAAAAAAACCGCAAGACGAAAAAACTCGCGGAACGAATTAATTTCGTCTTGCGAGGCACCACTGTAGATTCATATTAAAATGGGAACCAAATCAAATTTCTTTCCCCCACCCCACTGGATCTAATGGTAGAGCCGGCCTCAGGCCCAGGACAAGCATCCTATCTCCCCAGTGGACTTGGCCCAAGTGTTTATGTGCATGGTGAAATTGATTGAGCTGTCACTTGCGGTGTTTGGGCTAGCTATGCAGATTCTATAGATATGCCCATGGGATCTGTGCCTTGCAGTAGTTTCAGCATTCACCTCTTTCCCTGTTATTCAAACTGAAGACACAGCATCCCCATGTGGAGCATTTGCAGTTAGTAATAAAAGCATATGAATGAACAAGCAGGGAAAAGTCTAGGGAACATTGCTTAGAAACTGTTGGCGGCAGCCATGGAGCTGTTCTGCATGGGAAGTGGCTCTTTACAAGGCGGTGTCCAAGGAGGCAATTTTAGGTGAACATCCATTGGAAACAATCAGACAAGTGTATAGATTACTTTTGCCAATGAATTTAAGGCAAGGCTTTCTAGGTCCATTAATTTTACATACTGCAAATTAAAACATCAAACCCCTTTGGCACACTACGTTAACCAGCTTTGGATATACTCACTTTGGCACTTATCTAGGAAGAAAAGAAGTGCATAAAACGTTTTACATACTTTTAATTACTTTGCAGGGGTTGTGTGCATGCGTGCACAGAAGTTTATTATTTTATTTTACTTATTTCATGAGATTTGTATACTACATGATTGTAATCATGATTACAAGATTGTAATCATGACCACCAGGTTTCAAAGTCACCAGGAACCAATCACCGTCTTTGGGAGGTGCACTAATTTGTTGGATATACATCATAATATGTGGCATAATTATTCTGGAAGTTCTATGCAGCTGAAAACTCCTAATAGAGAGATTCAACATGGGAAGCTGTCTTCTACCAAATAGCTGGTCTCTCTAGAACAGTATTGCCAAGGCTATCCTTCCCTAACGTGATGCCTTCCAGAGGTTTTTGACTACATCTCCCACCAGGGAGGCCAACATCTGGAGGGCATCAGGAGGACTGCTCCGCTCTGGTCAATGAGAGCTTTCCTCAGGAACAGGCCTTTCCTAACTGTGCTGGCTGAGATGCTTTTGACAGGGGATGGTGGCACCTGAATGTGAGGGCTCCTGCATGTAAAGTGGACACCCCCAGCCTGATGCCTTCTAGAAACTCTGAAGTTAAATTCTCATCAGCTGTAGCCAGCATGGTGCATGGTCAAGGACAATGGGAGTTCACAATATCTGGTGGTGAGGAAGACTGTTTCTCAATGCATTCAGTCACTGAGCTTCGGCTCTTTTGCATGCAAATGGTTCCAGGTTCAACTCCTGATATTTCCAGGTAGGGTTGGCGAATACCCCCACCTGAAACCTCAGAGAGCTACTGCCAGTCAGTGTAGACAGCACTGAGTTAGATAAGACCAGTGGTCTGACTCAGCATAGGGTGAAGCAGCATCCTATGTTCTGTAAGTTGCAGAAACATGGTCAACCTAGAACAAAATAAGAGGGAATTTTTTGTTATGTTTTGTGCTCTTGGTCCCTGAGTTAGTTGCTGGAGAATGAACAACGAATATGGTTTAGAAAGAAAAAAAGAAAAAGGAAGGAAGAGGAGAGAGTGCTTCATTATAGTTGTCTATATTCTGTAAGATAAGAAATGGAAGATTGATAAGCTGTACCAAAAACTATTGAAAATGTGGTAGATGAAAAGCATTAAAGTGTAATGTGTCATTTGTCATGCAGCGGTGTGTTACAACGAGGGTACAGAAACTTCACTGTGTATATTAGGAATTAACAGTGTTAAAACTATGACTCCTCTAGAAAGAAATGTTGATTGGCATCCCTAATATATGGAGGGGATAGAGTGGAACAGGGCAGGATTGTCAAATAGAAGGTTGCTTAATAAGAGCTATGGAGGCCTATGAAAAGTCCACAAGCAGGACATGAGAGCAACAGCATTCTGCCCTCCTGTGGTTCCTCGTAACTGGATTCAGATGTATACTGCCACCAACGGTGGGGGTAGAAGACAGCCATTGTGGCTATTAGCCATTGATAGATTTCTCCTCCAAGAATTTGTCCACCCCTCTTTTCAAGCATTCCAAGTTGGTGAGCATCACTACCTCTTGTGGGAGTGAATGCCATACTCCAACAATGGTCTAACAACATGAAGAAATACTTCCCTTTGTCCTGAATTTTCCAAGATTGCATGGAAAAAGGGTGAAGCAATGGAAACAGCCACCCTGAGTTCTGCTCATGTGTAAAGCCTACACACAAGCAGAAGGAACATAGATGGATTCCCTAAGCTCCACCCCTGTCACTGTGTCCATCACCTTCCAACTTATGGAAAGAGAAGGTATAAAATGGGGAAGAGTTGTGAAGCTCCCTGTGAAATTTAGATTCTGACTATCTGGGCTTCTAATTGTGCAGGGACTGCTCACAAATGGAAGAAGCTTCAGAAATGTCCTTCACAAACTGGTGGCCAACTTAAGGGAGAAGTTTAGCACATTTGACCCCCTGCACTTTGCCTCTTCTCTCTCCCTCTTGGTAAGAACCAACATCAAGAACTCATTGCTCCTCATGGTGTGACCTCAGCCAATAGAGGATCAGTTTATGAGATTGTTCATAACATAGCACCTCATAGCTAATAACAATAACAATAACAATAACAATTTTATTATTTATACCCTGCCCATCTCCCAGCAGAATAGTAAAAACATGATAAAACATCAAACATTAAAAACTTCCCTATACAGGGCTGCCTTCAGATGTCTTCTAAAAGTCGGATAGTTGTTTATTTCCTTGACATCTGAAGGGAGGGTCTTCCATGGAGAGGGCACCACTACTGAGAAGGCCCTCTGCCTGGTTCCCTGTGACAGTATACCTTGCGACATCACTGAGGGCCAACAAAGCCCTCTCATTTCCCACACTGTGAATGGGCAACAAGGGAATGAAACACTGTTGCCAAGGCAACAGGAATACATTCCTTCATGAAGTAAAGGTTACAGCATTTGGACTCTTTAGTTTAGATGAAAAAGTGAGCACGGGGTGATATACAAAATTATCCATGTTCTGGAGAAAGGAGATAGAGAGAAGCTTATTCCCTCCCTCATAATAGTAGAACAAGGACTATTCAATGACACTGAAGATTCAGGAAAGAGTGTTATACAATGTAATGCTAAGTTAAAGGCACTTATATTGGTTCCACTGACTTTTTTTTCTTTTTGGCAGCAGCAGAACATAGTAGTTCCAAGGACTGCATGAGCAGTTTGCTAGTAACTTTGCAATGAGTTTCTGCTCGTGCAAATGTTGTGTCAAATTCCTCTGTTCTGCAGCATTAAAACTCTCACATCTGTTAGTGTGAGCACCCCTGGCCTAGCAGACGGAGAATATTGGATGCAGCCCAGAGAAAAGAAAATTCTTCTTCACACCCACAAGATGTAATGATGGCCGTCAGCTTGGATGGCTTAAAAGAAGATTTGTTATTTGAGAGTTGTGTACTGTCTTCTGAAAGCCAGTTGCTGAGAATCACAAGTTGGGAGAGTACTGTTGCATTCCAATTCTGCTTGTGGACTTTTCATAGGCATCTGGTTGGCCAATGTGACAACAGGATGCTGGTGTAGATGGATCTGGCAGGGCTCTTCTCATGTTATTATGGTAAATAAGTGTCAGGATGCTGTTAGCGGCTCCCAGCTGGTTGCTTAGGAAAGTATAAAGACAAGGAAAGGTTTCTTACCATCCTTTTTTATTTCAATCTTTACAGAGAGAGGCTATAGAACCTCTTGGATAATGGTGTTGTCTTAAGTGAATCTCCGCCACCAGTCTCTCCCACTTCCTCATTCATCACTTCTACAGGTGCTGCTACGTGCCCTCTGCCTTTGAGCTCTTTGCTCTCCTACTTTTAAGGCTCTCCGGGTTCTGGGATGCTTTCTGATGACACCGTGTCAGTCAGCTGCCACTCCGCTTCTGCCTCCTTCTCCTCCTCTTCTCCCATTATTTTCCAACTTCCCCCTCATTTGCCTCTGAGCTGTGACCTCCCAAAACCACTGTTGTAAATCTATACTGTCTTCCTCTTCCTCCACCCTGGAAGGGTCAGGATGGGGAGGCAGTCTCCACCATTCCTCCTCTGCCCAGTCCCCAACAATAAGAGACAATAAGTGCATATGGTATTGTAATTGTAAATGAGCATGGCATTACAGCTCACCGTCTCCTTCTCTTACCAC